TACTTACACTTAGGTCACATTGCACATACATGTACAAGTATATATATACACACCCCTCTTGGTTTTCTATTTTCTTACTAGCTCTTGTTCTTGTTTCTTTCCTCTTACCTTCGTGGGGAAGTGGAACAGAATTCTTCCTCCTTAAGCTCTGCGTGTTTTAAGAGGCGACTAAAATGCCAGGAGCAAGGGGCTAGTAACCCCTTCTCCTGTATAAATTATTAAATTTATAAAGAGAAACTTTCGTTTTTCCTTTTGGGCCACCCTGCCTCGGTGGGATACGGCCGGTTTGTTGAAAGAAAGAAAAATATATATTAAACAATTTGGTTATTTCTCAACGTGAGAGAGAGAATTATTTTTCATTTGACAGTTACCTCGTTCTCACGCCAAGACCAAGACTCAAGAACTTGCAAGTTGCATGAGGCAATGAAATGCAGTGTAGGCACTTATGTATGTTGCACAGAAATGCAAGGTAATACACACGTATGATCATCATATCTATGAAAAATATACAACAAAACTGTTTAAACGTGTCAGTATTTGATTAAACAGTGTATATAGGAGAAAGGAAGCCAGGGTGTGCAAGTTTGACACTTGCGAGCGCTTTTGAATGCAAATGTGTGATCAGTCGATTCATTTATATCTTTATACAATCAACATATACATCATGTACAATTGTACACCTATTGTACACTGTAACCATGGAGTAAAGATGTATACAGTATATGATGGGGCAAAAGAGGTTTACATATGAAGAAGCCAAAGTGGATAACACATGAAGAAGCCAAAGTGGATAACACACACACATGCACAAGCATGTACACGCATGCACACTCACACTTGAGTAACTGCTACATTTTTTAATGGAAGTCAGCCTTGATAACTTAAAAGAAATGGAAGTCTCTACCTCTTTATATTAAAGGGAGTAATGCAATGTGTGTGAGTGTTGTCCCAAAATATGCCGAGGAAAATTTTTATGGAAGATTCCCGGGGTAAGGGAACGTTATATGCATTGTAAAATAAATTATTGAAAAAGTTAGTAACCCTGTGTTGATGGCAGATGGCACTAGTTCAAAATAATAGCTATGAGAAAAGTTAGTAACCCTGTGTTGATGGCAGATGGCACTAGGTCAAAATAATAGCTATGAGAAAAGTTAGTAACCCTGTGTTGATGGCAGATTGCACTAGGTCAAAATAATAGCTATGAGAAAAGTTAGTAACCCTGTGTTGATGGCAGATGGCACTAGGTCAGAACAATAGTTATGAGGAAAGAAAACTAGTAGATGGATGGACAGACTGAAAAAAAATGGAACAAATTCATGTATGGGAAGAAAGTTTTATAGATAAATTAAGTAGAAAAAATGTAAGATAGAATAACAGGTGGTAATGACTAAGAACAGGTGGTAATGACCAATATAGAACAACAGCTGGTAATGACTAAGAACAAGAGGTGGTAATGAGTAAGAATAACAGGTGGTAATGACTAAAAACAAAAGGTGGTAATGACAGAACAACAGGTGGCAATGAATAAGATAACAGGTGGTAATGGCTAAGACATGACAACAACAGGTGGTAATGACTTAAAACAGCAGGTATCTAGTAAAGATGTCCTAATTGTACTACGCACTTGTTTCCTTTCATGGGTTTGAAATTTGCCCAAGTCAAGGACAGACTATTTAGAATGTGAGGTGCATGGTTGAGTGAGGTAAGATCAGATTTGTTTGGATTTTTAACCTGGAGGGTTAGCCACCCATAATAACCCAAGAAAGTCAGCCCATCACTGAGAACTGTCTTATTGCCATTGGGGTCCTTCAGTCTTGACCCCCAGGATGAGACCTACACCAGTCGACTAACACTCAGGTATCTACTTACTGCTAGATGAACAGGACAGAAAATGTAAGGAAACGTGCCCAGTGTTTCCACCCTGCCGGGTATTGAACCACAGACACTCAGTGTGTGAGGCAGGACTGTTGCCAACTAAGCCATGGGGCACTGACAAACTTCAGAGATGTTTGGAAATGTTTTCTCTGTTGCAGGGTGGTAAATAAGTAGAGTGAGCCAAGTGAGAAAGTGGTACAGGCAAACTAAATACTGCAGCTTCTAAAGTGGGTATGATAAAGCCCAAGATATCAGGAACCAATAATGCCAGTGAATATAGTTTAAGAGACGAGTCTCTTAACTTGTAATCACTAGAATGAAGGTTTCAGGTAATGTCATCTTTAGACAGCATGAGGGGATAAAACAACAACAGGAATTGCCACAATATACAAAATACTCAGAGAAAGGAATGAAGAGATGCCAAGAAGAAGTATGAAGTTGTTCTCAGATTGTAAACAGAGGAACTGCAGAGTTGCTCTTCACAGAGATTTTGAAAAAAAAAAAAAAAAATAGCAAACTTAAATTCTGAAGTTGGGACACTGTGACCATGGCTCTACTCCTGTAAGTATAAATAGGTAATATCTTCCTATGTGCATGACTGAATTCTCACTCTCTCTCACTCTCACTCACGCGAACACACTATCCCATACACCTCACACCCACTCGCATAACTCATTGCTTATAGCCTAATATAATGCCCCAGAAATCTATAATCTTTAGATATAATATTTAATTTAGAACTTTTTTAACATGTAATAGGTCTGCTTATCAACATTGATCTGTCATAGGAACATCAGTATTTCTAGTAAAGGGATTTACTCATCTCATTACTCTCAATAGATATAGTAATAATTAGGCCTGAAAAGTTAGCAATAATAATGATTTAATAAGAATATTAACAATATTAAAATGATAAATTCTTCTAAGTTTGAATCAAATATAATTGACTAATATATTTCCTGCATCCCAAATATTCTAGAAAGTCTTGCATACTGTATATATTTTAAGGTATGATTAACATATTTCTGCATACTTACATAGATTCATATGATCTACCATCTTCATGAAAAATGTTTTCATAGTCAACAAGTGAGTTTGCTAGGTTGAAGGCCTGTCCAGCGTTCACGGTTCATTAAGGCCGCAGTCACATAAACACTAATGTTAAAGGTTCTCTACTTTAATCCCTAATATAGGGATTACTGTAATATCTGTGTATATACAGTGTGGAGATACATAACCTTGACTATACAGTGTGGAGATACATAACCTTGACTATACAGTGTGGAGATACATAACCTTGACTATACAGTGTGGAGATACATAACCTTGACTATACAGTGCAGAGATACATAGCCTTGAATATACAGTGGAGATACATAACCTTGAATATACAGTGATACATAACCTTGAATATTAATACAGGTGCTCATCGCTTTACAATGGTTCAACTTGCAATTTTTCTACTTTACGATGGTGCGATAGTGATGCGCATTCTGTACTGTACAGCACTGTACATTTATTGATAGGATAAACTTGTATTCATTTATTCACTTTTCAATACAGGTATTTAGTTAATTATAGTAATTATTTGTTTATTTACTCATTCAACAACAGTAGTTATTTATCACATCGTATTCGACTTAGGACATTTTCAACTTACGATGAGTTCATCAGAACATAACCCCATTGCAAGTCAAGGAGCACCTATTGCAATTACTCTCACAGAACAGATGTTTTTGATTCTTTAAATAATCTTTATTTTACTTTTATTGTTGCAGTATTATAATTACTTCCAGTGTCATTTATATTATGGTTATTCTCTCCTCTTTTTTCATAAATTATCTTACTTTGGCATCTTGTAATTATGAGACTGGGGGCCAAAAGAAACAGCAATAAGTATGACATTTCAGTTTTGCCAGCATTTACAAATGTCAATGAGTAAGACATGTGCAACAGTTGGGTATCTTTGTTGTAATGTACTGTGGAAGAACACTTGCTGCCTCCAGTTTATTCCCCTCTGTATTTGACTGAAGAAGTCTACCATGTAGGTGAAATGTTTCAACAATAAAGATACCCATTTTTTTGCACATGTCTTACTCATTGACTTAATATTGTATACCATTTTCAGCATACAATTGTCGCGTTAACATTGGTTTGGTGAACATTATTCACTATTGCATACAGAACTGCCATGGTCTCTGTGCAAAGTTGCTACTGACTGTATATTTTGGGCCTGAAAGGCTTTTAGTGAAGTGTCTATCCCCAAGAGCTCTAGGTGACACATTGTGCACAAGGGCTCAAGGTGAGACTGGGCCATATGGAAAGTAATCCCCAGAACCAATAACAGATCAGGTAAGGCGAGGTATCAGGGCCCGTAAGAGCTCAAGACGAGGCATGCACTGCATCCTGTGTGGTAACAGTGAAGAGCTTAATGTCCAAACAAGCAAGTGAAAACCAGCAAACATTCTGATAAACATAACACACGAATGAGTGAGATGCAGACGTGACAGCTAATGTTCCTAGTAATCTGTCGTCAGTATGAAAGACGTTGCAAAGCCACATAATCTGCCAGATCAGTCTCTTACAGCTGATCACTGAAAGTGTTTTTTCAATCAGTTCTTTACAGTGGAACATTCCCACAATTTTCAGCATACGATGACCAGGGCAAGTGTACTCCACATGTGGTTAATGTTACCAGAAGTATCCTTAAAACTTCTTGACATCTCTCAATAGCACACAGGTCACACATCACCAAGTATAGTACTCTCACATGGCTATTCTCCAGTAACAAGTAAAACATGGAATTTGTAATACTAACAAGTGTAAATAGTGTACTTAAATCAGAATATGTCTATCATCAGTAACAAAACATATTTACATTTGCCTAAACATCCTATAAACTGAGAATGAATACATAAATGATTGATTAACTGGCACCCATCTGGATTGTGAAGTAAATAAACCCTAGGAAGGAGGGGGAGCAACACCAGACTTGTAATGTCACGCTTGTCTCCACACATTACCTGACTGCATTACAAAAACAAGAGACATATTGCACAAAATAAGTCTGGCGTTCATGTACAAAAGCTGGGTGACTGCTGAAGCTAAGGCCAGTGAGCATCACAATCACTAACACCGAGATATCACAAGTCCTGGGGAGAGGACTGACACTCCCCACACAGGGAGTTGAGGAAACACACAGGAAGGGGGGGGAGTCAGTCTGCTGAGAAATGAGAGATGGAGACAGGCAGAGGTCTCTATGGAGTGGTGAAGATAATCATCTTGTTTCATGATGTATTCGCTGGACCGGGATGAGTTTTGGTTGAGCGGGAAAACCAGCTAATTATGATGATCATTTATGAAGGCAAGGAATGAATGAATGAATGGTAACCTGAAGACCCCTTTTTATGGGGGTGGCGGTAGTGGCACTGGTGATATGGGAGGTGATGCAATGAGGAATTAGGCTACAATATGCTGGGTGAGATTGCAAGAGAGGGAGGGGTGAAAAACATCCTCAAGCAGGTGGGTGCGGGCGAGAGATGTCGATGGTGCGGACCTTGGAGGCATCGTTGCTGAGGAGCTGGAGCTTGGCATGGTCCGTTTCGGGCATGATGATGCACATGAAGGTGGAACCCGTATTGGGGTCCCGAGGGTAGATGGTCAGTGGGGGAAAGACCTCGCCAGCTTCCACATACGCTGTCAACTTCCTGTGAACATCTGGGTACTGGTGTCGCATGCTGATGCCTCTCTCCCGCAAGTGCCGCACAATGTTGTTAAAGGCGATGTGTCTAGCAGCCTGTGGAGATGTGTTTGAGTTGGGGATGGGGGCCGATGTTAGGATGAGAGTTTCGGGCTCATCCATGTCCCGAGTGATGACATGTCGCTCAGGACGTGGGCTCCACGAGTCTGACCCCCGAGCACCTGTCGTCAGTCTTAACTTAGCACACTGCGACACCACTTCACGCTCCCACTTGGGTGACGAGCCTGTGGGGATCTCGTTCATGATACATATGCTAACATAAAGCACAAATTTATATTCTGGGTTATAATGTTTACAGAGGTCAGTGATTTGTTTGTAGACCTCTGGACCTGTCTCCTGGGGTAGCAAGTTTGGTATGGTAAGGTAGTGGGCCTCAGGCACCTCACCACCCCCCACAAATGTTTCTGCAGCTTTGATGTCATGGAAGTATACTTTAACTGCCCCACGGCCGAGGGCACGGGCCCCCCGGCGCGCCACTGCACTGATGCGCTCTAACACAGTATCGTCCTCCCTCACCCTTGCAGTTACCTGCTTGGCAACAGCCAGGGCCCGAATTTTTTTGCACTGACGTTTGTGCCGCTCCCAGTGTTGGCGGCGACATGGTCTTGAACAATAGAAGGTGCAGCAATTGTGGCACACCTTGTAGCTTCGGCGAGCTTCCTCTGTATCTGCCATTTGTCCGCATGCTGGATTGCGACATCGCACACCTAGTGGTGAGACTCCAGACTCCTCATCTGCATCAACTCGAACATTCTCATTGCCGTTGCCATTCTCAGAGGAGGAATCTGGCGGAATGTTCATATGTCGGGGAGGGAGATGGAAGGTGACGCGAGGGCCTGGGGGCGGCCGAGATTCAATGATGGAGGGAGCAACTGCTATCACACTACTGAAGAGTAGAGCGCCAGTCAGGGGATCAGGTGGGCACACTGGGGCAGCCTCTGCCGAGGCTCGGCGGGGAGGTGAGGTGCCCAGCTGATTGACTTGCCCGGAACTCTGGCTGTTGGGAACAAAATGACTAGGAACATTGCTCTGTTGTGATTGGGTGTGGCTGCTGAGGACACGGGTGCTAGAGGTGTGAACTGGGACACGTGTGGCAGCTGTGTGAGCTGGGACACGGGTGGTGGTAGTGTGTACTGGGACAAGGATACCAGAGGGATGACCTTGGGCACGGGAGCTAGTTGTGTGACCTGGGACACGTGTGCCAGCAGTGTGAACTGGAACACACTCGGACACACTCGGTCTGGACACATAAGTGTTGGACACAGCACTACTGCTGCTGCTGCTGCTAGACACTTGAACATCATGGCAACAAGAGGGGGACACTTGAGTGTTATGAGAGTTAACTACAGTGGTGGTCGTGGCCTGGGTGTGAGTGCTGTTAGTGAAAGTGGAGGAGAGTGGGTGGTGGGCGAGAGCAGCAGTGGGTGTTGGGTGAGAGGCTTGCGAGAGAGGGGAAGGAGGGTGGATGTTGTGAGGGAGGTTTGACTGTGCAAAAGTCTTGAGGGGGTGGGCAGGAGACCCATGAGGACTGTTAGCTAATGAGGTGTGGGCATTCTGTAAAGGAGCAGAGTGGGTGGTATAAGCAGCGTGGGTGTGATGTGTAAGAGCAGGGGAGTGGGTGTACTGGAGCCTGTGAGTGACTAAGGCAGCAGACTGGTGGAGCAGGACACCTGTGGCTTGGTTGGCCTCTGTCAGGTGGTGTGCAGTAATGGTGCCGTCTGGTCCCGACACCTCCACCATCTCCACTCGACGTGCTGTGGCTGCTCTGCCACTCAGGTCCAGGTGCACATGCGTGTGCGCGTGCGTGGTGCGGGCGCGTGCGAGGGTGTGCGAAGCGGTGATAGGCAGCTCGCTGAGAATATCACCTGTAATAGGGGAATGCATCAGGCAGAATGGCAAGAGAGAAGAGAAGAGAGAGAGAGGCACTAACTGTGTGTTAAACAAGCAGTGGAGCAAACAGGAAAAAGTTATGTATATTTTGACCTACATTTGAGGGCTTCTACAGCATGCCTATTTCTCATTCTGTTTTTTATTGGGTTTATTAACAGGTAGTACTAACATGTCTATATGTAAACATCTTGGACTGGATATTTCATGTATGTCAGTAAAACTTATCAGCCCTGGAAAATATAACAGCAACATCATCTATATATTTTCTAAAGCTATCAACAAATCATTTAATGGTAATGATGTGAATAAGTCAAGTTACACAAAGATGTGATCATTATGGTGTTCACCTGAGCACAACTAGGAAGAACAGGAGCTTGGAAAAAGTAATAATGTGAAAGACTGAGGAAAATGGAGAAGTGAGCAGAAGAGCCAGAAAGGAATGTGTAAGGGTGAGAGGAGAAGCTGAGCAACAATTTGAGAATGACAAAGAATCAAAAGTCAAGTTCTAACCAGAGCTGCATCACACTCACATGAGTAAAATGACAAGACCAAAGAGTCAAAGATGAAAGGTGCACCAGTGCATACTGGACACCATACACACAACAGGGAATGAGATGATAAAATATTTGAACATGATACATCTAAGGTAATGAAACCCAATAAATTATCACCATAAATTTTGTGAGAGGGAACTAAATGCCATTTGAACCACTACCTAAACTCTGCAAGTCAGTTGATACAGGATAATTGCCAAGATGTGGAACACAATAAATGAAGTTCCAGTACAGTATTTAAAAAAAAAATGAAAATTATTGGAAAGTGTAAAAAATTATTAAACCCCAGAAAAAAAAAAATAAAAAATATTAAAAAAATATGAGCATGCTGCAGTCTCCAATGTTGCTGTCATTGACCTTCAACTTCACACTTTCACATCTCGCTAATTTCTAAAAAGAAATTTGTTTTTCATTACCACCAGGAAAATACACACTTTTAATCTACAAGGAAAAAAAAATTGAAAATTTTTGGATGTTGAGAGCAATTTTCATTTCAGGGATCTGCATAGTGAAAGGGTTAATGCTGGTTAGACGAGTCTTTCTTGGAAGATGCCACCATTGAGAACTAGCATCAGTGAGTGAGAGGAAAATACTCTGGGATTCAAGGCAGAAAAGGTTCGCATCAGCTTGCTACTGTGTGATAATGCATCAGGCAATTTTAAATAGCCCGTGCTTGTTTACTGCTCCAGGAATCTGTTGTGCTTTAAAAAGTACACACAATTTGGCAGTTATTTGGAGGTCAAACCACTCGGCATAAATGAGAGGTTTCAGCATCATTTTATTCAAGAAGTCATGTTTTACCTGCACAGCAAGAACCTTGTATCCAACATTCTCTTGACTTGATAATTCCTGCACTCGTTCGAAAATTCCTGAAGGATGTACACCCACATGTAAAAGTTGTCTTTTACTACTAAATACAACATCTTTAACACAAGCACTGGATTATGGAATTATTCTCTCAACAAGCCAGCTGTATCCCACTGAAGCAGATTGTAGAATTGAGATATTTAATTGCAGCTACACTTGAAAAGCGGTGCAGAAACTTGTCACAGCAGTGGAAGCCAACTCAGAGTTTGGAGTGCCAAATTTCTGGCATACATTTAATTTGCAGATGCCATTAACTACATACTTCGAAAGTGCATGGAATAAAGTGCTCCAATCAGCATTAAATGCAGCCTGTGGAAAAGTATAACCTAGTGTGATGAATAATCTCACAAGTCTTCCCTCAGTTGAGACCCAGGCCCAGTAAACTGATTACCAGGTAGGGCTTCAAAGATACGGAACCAGAAGATGTGAATGAACATTTAGAAGATTAAGAAGGTAGTCCAGAGGAAATGTTGGTGGAGCTTCATGCTCGGACACTAGGGAGGCAGATAAATGAAGATGAGAAAAAAGAACCTGCAGAAAAATGGTTAACATTGTAACAGTCACAGTCACATAAGCAATTCCACTCTCCTGCTAATATTGCAGACAATATTCACTGAAGAGGACCCTGACACATGTAGAAGCAGTACTATGAAGGGAGCACTGGAGCAGCTGATGATGCCTTACTGTCACCTGTATAAATGTTGCAGGGTAAAACAAATCAGAGATGCATTACAGAATACCTAAGCACTCCAGTATAACCATCATCTAATGACAATTATGTATCAACATTGGTGCAAAAACCTCAGCCATTCACCTCGACTGATAATCCACACCCTTCCATCTCAGCCCAGTAGGGCTTCACCATCCCTCTCAAGTCTTCAAAATCGACATACATCAGCAACCCATGACTCAGCCAGTAGTGCATTCATCTCACATGCTGAGGGTCATTGGTTCGATCCCCAGCACTGGTGGAAACATTGAGTATGTTTTCTTACACCTGTTACCCCTATTCGGTTAGCAGTAGGTAGGTACCCAAGTTTACCTTAATTAGGGTTTGGCTTTGAAATGAGCTGAGGCAGGACATCTCTTAGCCTGTATATTCACCTGTATAAAAAAAAAAAAAATTATTCATTCTTTGTAACTATAAGTATTGTATTAAGTATAACACATTACATCCAACTACAGTTATACTATTAGAATTTTTTTTTTTTTTTTTACAATTGTGAGGCCTAAAAAAATTGTTTTACATTTTTGTGGGGAATAAGGAACATAACCCTGTATTTTCACCATGTTCTTCTGTTTGTTTTACACAATTTTTTAATTAGGCACTGTTTTCCGAAACCTAACTAAATGACTAATACATTAGACCATCTTAATTGATGGGCTACTGTACATTTAATGAAGAAGAGAATAATCAGTGAGGAAAATGAATGGCTACAAATAGATTTGGAAAAACTGCAGAATTAGTCAGGCAAGTGGTGAACGGAATTCAACCCCAACAAAAGCAAGGGGCAAAAAGACCAGAAACTAAGTATGCTCAGGGACAAAGGCTGCAAACCTCATTCAAGATGAAGACCTAGGGTCCTGGGGGGTGAGAATTGTGCAGTGCACATAGCCAGAGGCACTTATCAACCAGGTAACCTCCTGCAATGAATGCTCACTTAATTAATATTAATATCTTTATTTCTACAAGTACATGTACAAGGTATACAGGCCTAGCTGACATCAATGACATACTACTATATAGAAAGATACTTGTTATGCAGAGCATTTAGGGTAAATTAGGTCAGTTTTATTCCAGGATGCAACCCACACCAGTTGACTAACACCCAGGTACCCATTTTATACTGTTGGGTGAACATAGACAACCAGTGTAAGGAAACATGCTAAATGTTTCTACCCTTGCCGGGAATCAAACCCAGACCTCGCCATGTGAAGCGAGAGCTTTAGCCACCAAACCAGCTGGAAGCTGAAACCAGCTTTCAGAAATCTCATCAAATTAGTCATTTACAGCCCAATATATAACTTGTCAGACCCATCTTGGAGTATGCAGCACCACAGTGGGACCCACATCTGATAAAGCTTGTCAAGAAACTGGAGATAGTGCAGAGGTATACAGTAAGACTAGCCCCAGAACTATGGACAATGAACTGTAAGGAAAAATTGAAGTAATTGAATCTGATGACAGAGGATAGAAGAACCAGGGGAGACATGATAATGATACTGAAAATACTCAGAGGCTTTGATAAAGTGGACAGGGATAGACTGAGAAACAAGGAAAAGGTACACAAGGGCATTGTTGAAAGTTAGTCAGAGATGAGTCACAGGAATGTCAGGAAGTATTTCTTCAGCCTGAAGGTGAGTGCATGTGTGTGCACGCATGCAACACTTGCACTCACGTGAATACACGCACGTGGGCACACGCGTGCATGCATGCACAAACGTGCGCATGTACACACATGCGCCACATGCAACACGCATGTGCCACCACCACCACACATACACACACACACACAACACACACACACACACACACACCAAAAAAAAAAAAAAAAAAAAAGAGGCAGGGCCACAAATAGATGAGTACACACACAATGCGCACTCATACAAATATACATACGTACATGCATACATATACTCACAGTTAATGTATATAACTATATACAGTGAGGCTTCCACATTTGCTAGGATTACATTCTTAGAAATCACACAGTTAGTGCAAAAATCCACAAAAGTGTGTGGTGGAGTATTATAGGATGACAGTGTGTATGGACATCAGTAATACAATGCTGTTTCTCATGGATGGGTAGACGTCATTAAACAGCTGTGTGGAGTAAGACATGTATGGTATCTGTATTTGTGTTGATGGGGTAGGGGGAGGGAGGGCTGACAGATGTCTGGGTATGGTGAGGAAGGTGGAGCTGATAGATGTCTGGGCATGGTGATGGAGGCAGGGCTGACAGATATCTGGGTATGAAGTGAAGGAAGAGAGAAAGACAGGCAGAGGAGGAGGCAGGTAGATATATCCCTTCTCTCCTCTATCTTCCCTAATTCATCTTTCCCACCATCCTCCCTCCCTCACTCATTCCCTGTCCCCAGTTCTAATTACATTCTCAGAATATTAAGTATATAATTCTCTTTCATATTTAACTGTATTATATTTGACAGTTTTTACTAGACACAGACCGACCATACATGTATAAAACCTCTTGAATAATAAAAACACATTTGATGAAAAGATGACAGGAAAAGTGCCAAGTTTGTTGATAAATTATGGGAGGTAAGATGGCGTGAGAGGGTGTGTCTGGCACGCTGTAAGCCATCTCTTCTTTGGGTGACCAATCCTGCGAAAGATCAACATTAGTGAATAAGTACGTGGCAACTGCAGATGCTTCACTGTGTGTATGTGTGTGTGCATGGGTGTAATATATTATACCCGTTTTCAAGTCCTCGTACTCCTTCGTGTAAAAAGTTATGAATGTTCATTACATCTTTTCCGAGACAGACACAGACACGCATGTACGCACGTGTTCACAAAAAATATACCATTTATA